TTTGAATAGATTTGATTGCCCAAGAATTTGAGTATCATCAGAATTCCAATCGATGCCTATCAAGCACAGTGCAAATTGTTGAATAGTATGTGAAATGAGAGTTACTCCGATCACGGAATTGAGCAATTAGCTAGAGATTATCGGTAATCTGAACTAACTGCTGATTTCAGTGACTCGAAAAACCTCTCAATTTACATAAAATTTAACAATTAAAATCAGTCGGCAATTATTGGTGTAATTCGATGGGTTTGCCGAGCGATTCCATAGCAAACACTCTAACCGGTCTCATTTGTCCAAGTCCTTGATACCATGTACCCACTGTGTTCTCGTCTTTCGGGCAGATATATTTCGGATTTCGAAAGCCATGTCGCCATATCTTCAATTATCAATTGCAGGAAGTTCATCGATTTTGAAAAATTTGGTGATAAAACAATAATCCTGTCAACAATTCGCAATGAAACCATCAGTTCATTGTACATATTCATGAATTTGATATTGATCAATTCGTGCACATCACCACTGGCATAACCAGATTTTTCTCAAGGCAAGGGGAGGGAAGGGAAGCTCTCTCCAGAAATTTTATATGTTTAATTTTTCTTCCTTCTCCCTTTCATTCTATCTTTTCCCCTCCTTGAAACCACTGACTCCTCTATTCCGCCTTCTTTTCCTCTTTCTTTCCTTCACCTTTCTCTCTTTTCTCAAAACCTTCAGGGGTGAGACTCACTTCCCGTGCGCCTTCCTCCCTTCCCTTGGGCACAATTTTTTATAACGGGCAACATTACATGGGTAAGAACTTACGGCTTGAACGAGCACAAGTTTATCGGCCTCAACCGACTGGAAGAGAATAGTCGCAAAGGTGGCAATGCTAAGGAAACAGCACCAGACGACCGTTCTCATTTTGTTTGCAGTCGTAAATGAATGATTGAATGAATGCAAATTGGTAAGAGAAACAATTTTTTGATGGTCCGATATGTTGCTGAAAAGTTTTTATTGGGATGTATCAACTCACAATTTTAAATCGTTCGTTTGTTACGATGCTACTTTGCGAGTTTTCTGATTGTCATGCATTGACAGTTGGGTGTGTGCATGTGTGGAAGATTCAATCAAGCAACTAAGAAACTCCCTGAAAACTGATAAGCGCTACCGTTATCATATCAAAACAAATCAAAATTGTCATGTCAAAGACATAATCGCCGATTCTTTAATTGATTACACTTTCACAGCACAGTTGCAGTAGTTTTGATAAAGTGATCAAATTTTCAGCTATCGCTGTACATATTCTCCCTCTCATTGTTAGTGTCTAGCAATATGGATTTGACTGAACGATGCTACGACACGGCATCATTTTTTGAATGCAGCTGAAATATACTGATTGAAGGGGACTGGTAATCGAATGAAAAAAAATTAAGAGTATTATACACATCACACTTTCAAACCTATTTCATGAATATCTTGCAAAGTATGCTTGCAAGGAAAGGAGTGTGCAGTGGGTGGTTGTGAGAGATGTATTGAAAGCAGCCAGGCTCCGGAACAAACTACACTGGATGTTCTGCAGAGAATCGATCTCCACCAAAGCATGAGACCTCACTGGATCTGAGAGTTGGATTCCGTTGTTCGAGCCGATGCCTTACAAGCTTCAACCTAAAGCAAGCGATGAATTGTTTGCAGCAGAATATTGTTTAATTTATAGTCTCTATAAATGGATGAATCTAGGCAAATAGATGAATATGAATGGAAACCAAATGAGCGAAGATCATTTGGTTTCAATTGCTCAAGATTGCTAGTGT